GTGTGTGTGTGTGTGTGTGTGTGTGTGTGTGTGTGTGTGAGTGTTTGTGTGTGTCGCATCGACAGATTCAAACTGACGATCCAAAGCCGAGCTGCAGAATACAGGTTTATTTACATGAAGTTCAAAGATCGTTAGGTGAATTTTGGCAGGGTTCCACACGGCGGATGAAAGTGTTGCAGTGAACACTTGAAATGTTATAGTAGACAGGCTGAAATAGTATTTTCTTGTATAATGTACTACAGAATGTTTTTTTTATTTTTTATTTAATGTTTTAAAACAATATTTTACAACTTAAAAAAAACAACAAACAAACTTTTTTTTTTTTTACAGTGTGGGAATATTAAACTAAAATAATTCATATAATTAATATTTTTATGTTATAGGAAAATATTAGTGTTTGTAGGAAAATATTGTTTTAATAATTTTAATAATAATTAGAATTTATTGTTATAAAATACAGAATAGGTCCTGAGTGTAACATTGATTCCAGGGTTATTATAGCTAGCTGACTAACTGAAATATAATAAATAATTTAAAATTATTAAAATTAAAAATTTAAATTATTTAAAAGGATTAATTATTATTTTATTGCAGCTAGTTTCCAAAAAAACATTTCTCATTTCAATTTAGTTTAACTTGATTTACTTAACCAAAACTAAAATAAAAACTATATAATCACATTAAAAAGCAGAAAACACACAACAGAAAATGCAGAAAATACACAAATTAAAACAAATTCAAAATATTTAAAATCAAACTATAATAGTATCTTAATCACACTAAGAAAACACTGATTGAAACATGCATTTTTCTGTGAAGCTGCTTTGTAACAATATGTATTGTGAAAAGTGCTATATATTAAAAAAAGATAAATAAACTGAAACTTGAATTATGATTATTATTTCAATTTCTCCTTTGTGTTTGCCATGAAAATAGCCTTTGCTGCAGATATGACGTCACGCAGTGGGCGAGTAAGTTGGTGTGGACGTGTCAACCGTACAGCGGTCACTGCGGGTTAACTAGTCCTGCTGAAGTCTGGTTTGCAGCGGTCAGTCCAAGGGTCAGCACTCCTGCGGACCAGAGCTTTATCTGAGCAGATTAGCACTTTAGTCTCAGGCTGGAAAACATTAAAATCAACAAGAAACCACATTCACAACACGCTCCACCTCAATAATATGATGGGTTTCTGAGAGAAACTGCAGGATGAGACTTAACTTTCTGATATCATGAATTTATCGGGTTGAGGACGTCAGCTGGCGCCTGTTTTGTTTATGTTTGCAATAATGCAAACAGAAGAATCAGGAAGATCAGGGACATTCATTAAGATGATATAGCCTACAGCTAGTTTTGATTTCATGTGAGAAGTGGATCTGGATGTTTTCATTTCTGCTCTTCAGCAGCTGTGACCGCAGTCGTGTGCGTCTGCGCAGGTGTCACAACAACCAAAACACACACCTTTTAATAGTATCACTACCAAAAGTTTACAGTCAATAGGAATAAAAAAAAGATTTTATTCATCAAGGATGCATTAAATTGATCAAAAGTGAAAATGTTAAAATAATAAATGCTGTTCTTTTGAACTTTCTGTGCATCTGTGAATCCTGAAAAATAAAAAGTATCACGTTTTCCACAAAAATATTGTGCAGCACGACTGTGTTCAACATTGATAATAATCAGAAATGTTTCTAATAATCAGCATATTATACTGATTTCTGAAGATCATGTGACACTGAAGACTGGAGTAATGATGCTGAAAATACAGCTGCGCATCACAGGAATACATTACAGTTTAACACAGATTCACATAGAAAATTGTTTGAAATTGTAAAAATATTTCCCAATTTTGACTGTATTTTTGATCAAATAAATGCAGCCTTGATGAACAGAAGAGACTTCTTTCTGCCCAGGCAGAACTCACCACTATGAACATGTTCAGTCTGAAGTTAGAAGAGTTTTTAGAATAAACTAGGTTGAGTCATTCAGTGTGTTGATGTTGATGTTTTTTGCTCCAGTCCCACAGGAAAGAAGTTCCGCAGTAAACCGCAGCTATCCCGCTATCTCGGGAACTCGGTGGATCTGGGATGTTTCGACTTCCGCACGGGCAAAATGATGCCCAGCAAGATGCAGAAGAACAAGCAGAGACTGCGCAGCGACAACCTCAGCCTGAGCAAGGTACTGAACAACACACACATCTCACTCTCTCAAAACGCCACACACATCTCACGCTCTCAGGTCATTTGGTTCATTGACAATGTGTGGAGTTGTAAAGAGTTGCGTGGAGATGCGAAGAGTTGTATGGAGATATGTGGAGTTGCATGGAAATGTGTGAAGATGCGTGGAGTTGTTTGGAGATGAGTGAAGATGTATAGAGTTGCGGGGAGTTGTGAAGAGTTGTATGGAGATGCATGGAGTTGTGTGGAAATGCAGAGTTGTGAGGAATTTTAAAATTTGTGTGGAGACGCGTGGAGTTGTGAAGAGTTGTAGGAAGATATGTGGAGTTGTAATGAGTTGCGTGGAGATGTGTGGAGTTGTAAAGAGTTGCATGGAGATGCGTGAAGATGTATAGAGTTGCGGGGAGTTGTATGGAGATGCTTGAAGTTGTGTGGAAATGCGTGGAAATTCAGAGTTGTGAGGAGTTTTAAAATGTGTGTGGAGATGCATGGAGTTGTAAAGAGTTGTGTGGAGATGTGTAGAGATGCAAAGAGTTGTATGGAGATATGTGGAGTTGTATGGAGATGCGTGGAGTTGTGTGGAAATGCAGAGTTGTGAGGAATTTTAAAATTAGTGTGGAGTTGCGTGGAGCTTTGAAGAGTTGTATGAAGATATGTGGAGTTGCGTGGAGCTGTAAAGAGTTGCGTGGTGATGTGTGTGTGGAGATGCGAAGAGTTGCGTGGGGTTGTAAAGAGTTGTGTGGAGATGCGTGGAGTTGTAAAGAGTTGTGTAGAGTTGTATGGAGATACGTGAAGTTGTGTGGAAATGCAGAGTTGTGAGGAGTTTAAAATTTTTTGTGGAGATGCGTGGAGCTTTGAAGAGTTGTATGAAGATATGTGGAGTTGCGTGGAGCTGTAAAGAGTTGCGTGGTGATGTGTGTGGAGATGCGAAGAGCTGTGGGGGGTGGTGAAGAGTTGTATGGAGATATGTGGAGTTGCATAGAAATGTGTGAGAATGCGTGGAGTTGCGAGGAGTTGTATGGAGATGCGTGAAAATGCAGAGTTGTGAGCAATTTTGAGATGTGTAGAGATCCGTGGAGTTTTGTGGATATGTAAATAGTTGTGTTGAATTGTGTGGAGTTGTGCGCAGTTGCATTTATGGCAAGCTCACACTACATGAATAGAAGACTGGTCTTGTCATAGCTGCATGTACTACACAACACAACACTGATGAGCTGCACACACTACAAAACATTCGGTGAAGAGGCAATCCCGACCATCAGCGAAAGACTGGTCTTGTCATAGCTGCATGTACTACACAACACAACACTGACGAGCTGCACACACTACAAAACATTCGGTGAAGAGGCAATCCCGACCATCAGCGAAAATATGTTTTCTTGCATAAATTCTCGCGGGAAATTACAGTGAATATAGACCATTTCTTCAAGCATGGACTATCAACTCGTCCTTTAATTGGTCTGTGCAGTTATTTTATCCGAAAGAAAGAAGAAACAATGGCTTGGAAGACATGGACAACGAGGGCTGTCTGTACTGCAGAAAGAGTTGGAGGTAATTAAACAGTATTAAATGCAGTATTATATACACAATTTATGCATTTGTTAAATTTATTTCTAGTTAGTTGATTTGATTAATTTGTGGCTTTTTGTTTCTGCATGATAAGACTGTTTATACCATCTGCACTGTGATTGGCTGGATTAGTTCCACCTTGTCATCGTGTCGCTCACATTAAGAGATCACGTTGCGATAGTATCAAACAGGTTTGAAATGTCGTAACGTCTGTGATGGCTCGAGACGGGTTCGGATCACATGGCTGACCCTGCTCATGCTTAACGAGCTTCAGCGACCGCAACGAGCATCGATCCAGACTCTGGAACTCTGTCTGCAACAGCAAAATCCAGCCAAAGATCATGTAGTGTGAGCTTGACATTAGATGCGTGGGCAGTTGTGTAGAGTTGTGTAGAGTTGTGTGTTGCAGTAACGCTCTGATATCTGGTTATCTGGAAGTGTGATTTATGTGGTTTCAAAATCAGATACATTTACACTTGTTTCTTTGCATCTGAAAAGAGTTACACCAGGGGAACCCCGCCAAAAATATAATATTCATATAAAGAATATCGGCTGATATACCGATATCTGACTTTTTTTTTACTCCCAAATATCAGTATCGGCATCTGCCCCCAAAAACCCATATCAGTGGGGCTCTAGCGTGAAGATGCATGGAGTTGCATAGAGTTGTGTGCTGCAGTAGCACTCTGATATCTGGCACTGTAAGCTGCTAAAACATGCTCTCTCACCTTTAATGTTTACAGTTCTGGGAGGAGCCTGATTTTTGTGGCTTCAAAATCCAAAACTTTTTTGCATCTAAAAAAAAGCCTCAATCGGATTGTAGTCCATCTCTGTAGTCCAGCGTTTTGAAGGGTATTTTCACCACATGTTTTCATGATCAAATAACTGTCCAATCAGAGACAATACATGAAGTGGCTTAGTGTAAATAGGCAAAGTGAGTTAATTTAACCTAAGCAAATGGCAATTTTTTTAAAACATGTTTTCAAACCAACATCTATGCGTGACCCAGTTAGCTTTATGAACTGAGCTGAGCTGCTGTCTCGTTTGTCCTGTAGTTCTGCTTGCTGATCCTGTGAGGTGTGTTTGTGCGCTTCTCTCAGGACTCTGATATGATCTCAACCTTCATACGCTTTCATTTTCAGTTCAGCAGACTCTCTGTATTCTTCATTTGCTCTTAATGAGCTGATTTAAAGCGAAAATCATAACGTCTGGTGAGGCAGGAAAGGTTTGGCTCAGATTTCTGAGATCATGCATTCATAAGTTCCAGAACAGGTCTGTGTTCGTCATGCTGGAAGTTACAGAGGTGTGGTGACGCGCCTCGCCCCATGACACACTTCTGCCCTACAAATACACGCACACACACACACACACACACACACACACACACACACACACACACACACACACACACACACACACACACACACATACACA